TATGACTTGTTTACTTGCTGATAATAAATAGAAAACTTCTGAGTTCTTACTATGTACCTGCTCTGAGCATTTCCCATGAAATCTTTCAAATTACCCTTCCTTGAAGTGGATTTTACCACTAGGCCCATTCTACAGATGAGGAAATGGAGGGATAAGGACATCATGCAGATAATAATGAAAAGGCAAGATCCAGCCTCCCTGAACCAGTATCCATGCTTATAACTATTCTGCCAGATTGTGTGAGGCACTTGCATTCTTGGGGATCACTGATTCCGTATATCAATGCCCAGTTGCTGTCTCAGTCAAGGTCATACCACGCAACAACCAACTCTTACTGCCAAGCAAGTTGATCAACATCCCCCAAAGGGATCAATGATGAAATATGAATAGTTCAAAGGACCAACAGCAGTGGTCACAAAAGTTCTAGACAGTCCGTCCCCACAGAAATGTAGAAGCAACCTCTCCGAGCCCTGGTTTTTCTTTAAATATTCACAGAGCACAATCCATAACTCCTTTTGCTTGGCTTTTAAATAACTTTTTTTCAAAAAAGAAAGAAAACTTCTGTATTTCTCAGGACACTTAAAAGTTTGCCAGAGTAGTTGTTCTTTGTCCCAAGAGGCTAAAGCCTAAACTACTCAGAGGAACAAATAAGTGGTCAGAGAGGCATATGACCTTTACACATGCTTGTGCAAGGCTGCCTTGGCACTCGCAGCTCCAGCAATGACCCTGAGCAGGCTCAAAGTGTCTCCTATCCATGGAGTGACCCTACAAACAGCCAGGGAAAACCCTTCCTCAGCACTAATATCCCTAGCAAGTCATTTTTTAGGCTTTCACACAGAATTTTAGAAGCAGAGTGTCACTCCTGTCTCTAAAATGGAAATAGATAGTAGATGACTGTTTAGGATATTAAATTCTCCAAGCTTCTGCCAGCTAGCCACCAATAACCCAGGTCTACAAAGGACATGGATAAGCATGGTCCTCACAAGAATCGCTGTGTGTTCCTTGACTCTCTGGATGCTCAACTGTAAGGTAAAGACCATGAGCCCTGCCCCCCAGTTTCAGAAGGAAGGCAGCATGTGCCAGGCTTGCAAAAATTGTAAAACACTGCACAAATGCAAAAGAACATTTTCATTATTCCACTGGATAGGTTCTAATACATGAGAAAAGTCCTCAAAGAACAAGTGTCGGTTCAATGAGCATTTCTTATTTCAGCACATATAAACACACTCATGCTGGCCCCTGGTGCCAGTCCATGTGGCTCTTAGGGCTTTTGCCCAAAACAACCTCTGCAACATTTAGTATTTTCAATCAGGCCCAAGGAGAACAATTCTCCTCTTGGACCTGCAGACATCACAAACCCTTTCCCAAAGTTGGTTTCCATGGAGACACAGAGTTTCTTCCCCAAGGGAATGCTACTCATTCAGTTCAAGTTTATGTTGGGTGTTTCCACACTCTGAATCCAGGCTCCAAAGACTTGCAAAAGGATGTGGGTCTCCTGGTTTATCTCAGGCTGTCCCACTGCTATGGAGTCAGTCTGCTGTTTTTCATGAGCTCATGCTGCAGCTCTGGAATCACCTACACAGAGGCTCATGGGAAAAGTGTGAAGCACGGCAGCCATCTTGGGCGGTAGTTCAAGGGAGTGGTTCAAAGTACAGGTTCCAGTAGCCTGCAGGATAGGTTCAAATTTTGGCTTTGATGGTATCTGTTTAATGTCTGGACAATTCTAGAACATGTTGACCTATAAAATAGGATAATGTAGTAGTACCTTCCACATAAGCTTGTTGTTAGTCTTAAGCGAGATATTGTATGTTAAAAAACATTTCGGTCTTATTATTATGTGCCATTTTTCATGCTTTTGGCTTTCCTTTTCTCACACTAACTGTTCCAAGTAAATAATAAGACAAACAACAAGTAAAGTAATGCCTTCTAGTAAGGGGGAAGGTTATGACATCAGTTTCTGTGTTCTTTTACCCACAACTCAAGGGTGGTCTACATGCTCCATGTGTGTGCTCACAGACACAGTCCTCTTTGAACTGTACATAATTGTTTATGTGTCATCTAGTTTTTCCATTCTACTATAAACAACTTTAGGTTAAAAAAAAAAAGCACTTCACAGTGCCTCACTGAATGTACAGTGTTCAATAAATGGCAATTATTATTCCCTGGAATCACTATTCTACATTCATTCTGTGCCAGAAGCATTTTGTATATTCTAAATTTATAGCTTTGGGAGTGTCCCTCGGGATATAAGGAGCGTGCAGGAGTAGAGACATTTGTCAAAGATGGAGTTACTCTTCTGTTGGCAGGAAGTAGAACGACAGTCACTTATTAGTCACTGAACTCAACTGGAAGATTCAATTAAGGTACTAGAGTTTCTGAGTATGCAATTCCCTTTAGGGACACAATTCCACAGGTGTCCTGACAAATACCTCGGGTCACCGGACATACGTCCTTTCAAAATTAAGTGTGCAAAGAGTAAAGTCTTCCCTTCAGTGGCTGAATTTGGGATACTGTCTTTTCAGTGTTACACCTTCCCAGAGGAGAAATACCTGATGGAGAAATAGATGGATGAGTCCCTCAAGTCATTATCTCTGCCTCTGTTGGAAGTAGTGAGAAGTAATGCTGGGTAGCATCTGGCCTTCAGTCAGAATTGAAGAAGAGCAAAAGAAGGCTCTCCATGGTCTGTCCACTTCTGAGATGTTCTTCTCACCCCCAAAGAACAAGAGAACAGTGTAGACGGGAACTGAGGGCGCTGCCTCATCACCACCTAACAGCAGGTACTTCATCTCTATTACCACCGACCCATACAGCCAACTCTTGAGGCAGAACTCACGAGCCAATTTTCTAGTTCAAGCAACTGAGACCCAGACTCAAGTCCCAGACGTCTGAGTAGGTGAAGATGTGAGGACTAGTTCTCTTCTTTTCTCACATCTCCATAGACTTCTGGTGTGCAGGGTTCTGGACAGGTGTGTGAACGCTTCACCATTCCCTAAGAAAAGTGTTTGAGAGAGGCGGAGTTTGCTGAATCTGGAGAGTGTGCACTAGGCCAAAGTGTGGCATAAACCATCTGCTCCTGTGGCCACATGTACCTCCACAGTCCTGTCTCTTAGTGTTCTCTCTCTCTCTCCTCTCTCTCTCTTTCTCCCTCTCCCCACCCCCGTCTCTGTCTCTGTCTCTGTCTCTCCCTGTGATATCACTGTTGACAACCTATATTGGTTCACTGGTGTCCACATGTATCATCTGCTCCTCAGCTCCATAGGACAGACTCAGTTCCACAACTAAACAGGAGTGAGTGGGTACAGACCTCACACACTCAGGAGAATCCCACAAGATTCCCTAGATCTCTCTTGAAAGCGAACTTGGCCTCTGCTGGGATCACCTCAACTCCACTTGGAAGCATGGCTGCTATGTTAGCTGCTACTGGCCCTGCATTCAGAAAGCAAGTCCTTTCATGGGGTTCAGCTGTTCCTCAAGCATCCAGAGAAGCTGGTCATACAAAGGCTGAAAATGTGACAACTGTTGGAAACCGTCAGTAGCAGCCCGTGGGAGCAACTGAACGCTCTCTGGAGCAGCCACTTGGTCAACAGTTAAAGCAGCCTATTATCCAGTTTACACAAAACATCCACCAGCTCCATGGCACCAACAACTAAATATCTCCATTCTTATCAAGCTCATGACATACTTGCCACTAACTATAGAAACCATGAACAACTTCACTGGCCATCAAAGTATACATAAACCAGGGCAAGGGATTGACAATAAAACAGAATTCCTGAGCTCTCAAGACCACAGTCAAAGACTGCCCCAGGGGCAAACCATAGCACTTGGAAACCAACAGCTCCCTCCTTCCAGGGGTAAGAACTCCAAGGCTTTCAGAGGTACAGTCAGAGAAAGGGGGTTTTGGAGTCAGAGCAACCACACCAAATGCTTCTAAAGAAAGAAGCGCCTGTGTGCATTTTCCCAATGAAAAATCTGTCCAAAGGCTTTTGAAAACGCTTTCATGTATAGTATTTTGCTTCCAAAACATTACACAGTATTTCTCCAACAAATTTACATGTGTTTCCAGGGAACTCCTGGACAAAAAGGAAAAAAAAAGTACTACTTTAGGTGGAAGAATGTCTGGCGATTCTTTTGTGCCAATAGATTAACAGACTTTCTAATTGTTACTATTTCATACAGCAGCCGTAGTCATTCCCTCATCCAAAGGAAATATATAATCCAGCTGTAACGGCTGCAGTAAAAATACCACATCTGTGGATCATTGGCAACACTCTGCCACAACTGCACAAATCTCGGCAGTCCCAGAGAGTTCTTTTTGTACCCAACAAGCACATGGGTACTTCTCTGAAAGTGCACATGAACTTTGCCAAAACCACTCACTCCTTGGTACACTGGAAAGAGGTTTGCAGAGAACCCACACCCTAAGAAAGAGGCTCTCTTGGAATATTATTCCCACGACCCCGTTGTAAGAAGTCCCCAGACCTCTCCAGAATGGTGGCTTGTGCCAGGGCCCTTGTCAGTATCAAATAGAGAAGGGGAAAACTGGCACTCTGGTTTCTGGGAGGAGATTCCACAGCAGCGGGCTGGCTGAGGAGCTGGCCCCTGGTTTTCCACTTAGCAGGAGCACGACTTCCGCAGAGGAAGGCGGCCACCGGTCTGGTCACCCATCTCTCTCTCCTCCAGGGTATGAAACCAACGTATTCCTGAGCACTGGGTGGTAACATTCCAGAAGTCGCCCCCAGCCTATGTTTAGTCTGTCCCCAAAGCCCAGTAGACAGCATCTTATTTCTAACCCAATCTTCCCCAGTCCAAAGCGCGCCCTGGGGGTTTAGATCTACAGCCGTATAAAGGCAAAGGCAGCGTGGCTGAGCCTGGACAGACTTTTCTCCCTGAACACCCGGCCTGCGGCTACCGTGTTGGCATGCCGCTCACCCCGAAGCCCTCGGGGTCCGGTCCGCCCCAGACAATAGAGCAAGAAAATAAAATGAAAGTGTACTTACTGCTATGGCTTGCAGCCTCTCCTTGTGCAATTCCGCCTCTGCCATCCTGGGGAAGGGTACACAGGCAAGGGAAAGAAGAAAAAAAAAAAACACACGCTATAGTCACCCGAGGAAATGATGGGCACCCCGGGGGGCTTAGCAAGAACCCGGGCAGAGGCGCGGGGTGGCTGGGGTCCGCTGGGGCGCGCGCAGAGCCGTGCGCACCGCTGGTTGGCGGCTC